TATATATATATATATTAAAAGAGCATCTCGTGACTCATTTCACGTTAATAATTAAGAAAGATACAAAATGGGGAGGGATAGTAGATCCCCATCTAAAAACAAAACAATACATCAAATCCTAGTGGTTCCACAATCCGCATTACAACTTCACGCAAAAAAACAAAAAAATTATGTATAAAACCAAAAAGTATACCCAACCATAAAAAAAACTGAAAAAATAAAAAAGCACTGTCCAAAAATAGCTCAAATGTATCCAACCTTCTTCTACAAACAGTAAGGGAGCTGCACATATATATTCTTCTGCAAACAGTGAGGGAGCTGCAATGATATAGAATAGCCGCAACTACAAGCTCGGAAAATAGTGTGCAGGACCATAAATCTGTAGACCATAATCTCCACATAAAGTATTGCAAATTAAATGATAGCATCCAATTATCCTAAGAGCAACATCCATCTCAACGAGAGCAGGCAAACCGGGCAGAGAGCAATTGAGTACCAAAATTACTTGTGATCATTGAAAGAAAAGAGCAAGAACAAAGCAAGATTGCATTGTTCAAGAGTATCAATTTTAAAAGCAAACTCATTTTGCAGTCAAAAAATGTAATCCCTGCCAAATTAAAACAGTAAACACAATGTAGGGAATGGCAACATATATGCAATAATATCATGTGACCACAAAAATAAGCCTCCTCAACACTCGAGAGACCATAGAACCATAAAGGGAATTGTACCCATTCCTTATATAACATTATAATTATACTAAAGCCAATAGTAGAAACAGAACCCCCATAGTAGCAGTCAAATAGATCAAGAAAATTATAGAAAACATCAAGACCAACAGCATTCTGAACCACAAACCAGCAGGCTCCCAAAGAGCCCATATTAAATACAGGTGAATTTAAGTTAGTGGAGCATGAACTTCATGGATCCAAAGCATTAAACAAATCAAATTTGACAACCAAGAAGCCCAGTGCACATTGACCAGGCTGAAAAATGTAGCCACAGTCTTTCCATTTTTCAGAGCAAAAAAACTTCCATAGTAGATTGATATCATAGATCCCATTCTCCAATAATGAAGTAGACTGAGGTATAAAGTTATAAAAGGTATCACGTGAATCAAGAAAAACTTTCATTTGATCAGTACATAAACCTCTCCAAAAGCACAAAACCCAGTCTACACAACCATCAAGAATTTTCATCCCAACAGAGCAAAGAAGCAAAAGAGGTGCGTCCCAATTACCCAATAATAGTCCCATAAATCATGGAACAATATAATATAAAGAGGCAGCATGTTAAAACCGAACATAAGGATCAGCTAAGTCATTTTTAATCAACTTAAGCAACATAGAAGGAGGTAAATTACCAACAATAACACCTTACACCCTCCATTTTGCAAGCCAATCCGTGGATTTGTTACCCTCTCTATAAGTGAAAGAGTAAATAATGTTTAGATGTTGGCTCTTTATGATATGCCTAATACGTTTTAGCCAAGGTATGATAAACAAGGAGGATTGAGCTTAGCCAAAAGTATATGATAAAGAGTTTCTAAGTCAATTTCCAAAATTATGTCATTGAGATTTAGAGAAGCAACAATTTGAAGAGCAGCAAACACGGCTATAGTTTCAGCCTCAATAGAAGAGTTGACAATACAAGGTGAGGCAAAATAAGCACAGAACTTACCACTTGAATCCCTAATAAGCCCTCCAATACCAGCATAAACATTGAAAAAACTTCCATCCACATTAATTTTAAGCCTACCGTGAGGGGGTGGTGCCCATTTAATTAAAATAGGTTTCCTACCCCTACCCACATTAGGAGAGGCAAGCTGTCCAATGGAATTCTTCCAAGCCTTTTTAAAATAAGCTATAGCAAAAGTGGAAGCAATAGAGGGGGTAAAGTAGTAGTGGGAGTGTGGCATGAAGCTTCTTATTTTTTACTATTCCTAGCCATCCAGATAAACCATAAAACAATGTCAGGGAAATAACTGTGCTGAATAAAAGATGAATCAAACTCTTTCCAAGTATTAAAAACAGCATTAAGGGTCAAAATTGGGGGCCAAGTAATACCAAAGTAGTACCCAATACTTTGCCACACCTCTTTAGCAAAAGAACATCCAAAGAACAAGTGATTAAATGATTCAACATTTTTTTTACAATTATAACAATAGGAGGAAAGTCTTAACCCTTTCATTTTCAGTATATCATCAAGTGGGAGCAACTTGTGAAAATATCTCCTAAGGAAAGAGGAGATAGAAGAAGATATGAGTTTGTTCCATGTATAACAATGCCATTTCCAAGAATTAAAGGAGTGAAAATTTGAATAAAGCATTTTAGTAACAGAAGTATTAGCATGGTGCTTCCAATGAGGAACATTTTTATTTTGAGCATGAATGGGAATGGTACCAATAGCAGGGGCAAGTTCACCAATTAAAGAATTCAGCATATTTAAGTTCCAATCACCTCCAATCCAACAATCTGAGACTAATAACTTAGCATCATAACCAGAAGAGGTAAAGTAGAAAACATAAAAATGCCGCAATCATCATTCCATAAAGAAATATTACCATCACCAATGTCCCAGAACATGAATTGAGATGCAATATCCTTAGCAGCAACAATAGCTTTCCAAAGTCTGGAGTCCCCTACTTTTCATTTGACTGTAGTAGGATGTAAATCTTTACAATACTTATGAAGCATAAACCTTGCCCAAAGTGACTCCCCCAAACAAAATTTAAACCGGAGTTTACACATGTTTATGTCAATAGTATGATTCAATTTTTTAAAGCCAAGCCCACCAGCATAGTGCCAAGTGGTCCAACATTTTGAAGTTCTAGATCCCTTCCATAAGCACTTATTAAAAATAGTTTCAAGATTCTTTTGAGTGCTTTTTTTTTGCTTTAAGAACTTGCATGGCATAAAGAGGTAGTGTGGAAAGGGCACTTTTCAACAAAGTAAGCCGACCCCCATTAGATAGGAATTTAATTCTCCCATCATTAATTTTTAGCTTAACTTTATTAATCACGTCATCCATTTGTGTTTGTTTAGTTCTTCCTCTGTTAATTTTAACCCCAAGATAATTTATGGGTAACTTAGAAATATTGCAACCAGTAAAATTAGACGCCCAAGCATGAGTAGATGAGGGAGCACCTTTACCAAAATAAACGGAACACTTAGCCAAATTCAGCATCATACCAGAAACATTTTGGAAATTATTTAATAAAGACATGGTAGCTTTGATGGCACATTTGCTAGTATTTAAAAACAATATAGCATCATTTGCATAGGCAAGATGACAAACCATAATTTTAGATTTATGTGAAAATTGAATATAAGGGTGATCATACTGCAGTTTATTAATAAGCCTAGGCAAGTAATCAAAAGCAATTATGAAAAAAGTAGGAGATAGGGGGTCTCCTTGCTTAATACCCCTTCTAGCAGAAAAAAATCATGAGCTTTACCACTTACCATCACACTATAATTGTTAGCCACCTCTGAATGAGAGAACAGAAATCTTGTTTAAAGCCTTTAGCCTACAAGATATAAATAATGTAGTCCCAACTAATAGTATCAAAAGCGTTCCTTATGTCCATCCTTATGTCCAACTTAAGGACCTCCAACTTAAGGACCATGTTTCCCCCTGCACTTTTTGTCCAACTCTTCAATCATCTCCTGTGCCAAAAGAATGTTATCTGTAATATCCCTTCCCTTAATGAAAGTAGACTGTTAATTAGCAATAATGTGAATAAGATGTGGTTGCAATCTGTTAACTATAACTTTACTTATAACTTTGGATATCACAATGGTGAGGGAAAGGGGACGGAAATTCTCCAAAAAAAAATCTTATCATTGCCTTTAGGGATAAGCACTATCAGAGCAGAGGTGAAATATTTACCAGGGTTATGTCCAAGGAAGAAAATCTGAATAACAAGAATAACCTCCTTCTTAACAATTTCCCAAAAATGAATGTAAACTGCAGAAGAGAAACCATCTGGGCCAGGAGATTTATTAGGGCAAATAGATTTGAATGCATTCAGTATTTCCTGCTCATCTGGAGAATAGGACAATAAAAGATTATTAATATAATTATACTCCTTAACAATCTAAGTAGGGTCAACAAGCATAGTATGAGCAGATGACTTAAAAGCTCAGAGAAGTATCTAACAACACTATCACCAATTTCATCCATATTAGTCAAAATACTCCCATCATCCTTTTTAATTTTTAAAATGCTATTTATATTTATTCTATGCTTTAGAGTGGCATGAAAATATTTAGTGTTTCTATCCCCTGCAACAAAGGAAGAATCATTAGCCTTTTTTTTAAGCAAGTTTTCCTCTAAAATAATAGCATCCATTAAAGCAAGATGAGCTTGAGCAACAGTATCCATTAATTGAGGAGAAGCCTCAAGTTGAGCTTCCAAGGAATCAACATTGTGCTGAGCATCTGCATCCTTCACTTTAGTACGGACATTACCAAAAACCTGGTAATTCCAATTAGTGAAGTGGGCAGCCATTTTCTTATGTAATTGTCATAGAACAAACAAGGATTTCCAACTCCTTCAACTTTCCATGCTTTGGTAACCAAATTAAAATAAGTATCATGAGAGGTCCATACATTGAGAAATTTAAAATGAGATATGGTCGGTTTAACAGTAAAAGCCAGTGTGATAAAAGTAGGGTTATGATCAGAAGTAACATGACTCAAATGTTGAACTTTCACAATAGTAAAATGATTTATAAAGGCACAGTTAGCCAAAAACTGATCCAATCTCTGATAAAGAAAACCTCTCCTCCAAGTGTAAGGAGATCTAGAGTATCCCAAATCATAAAGGCCTGCATTAGCAATAGAATGAGAAAAACTATTTATTAGAGAAGGTTCAACTCTGCCTCCCCCTTTTCTCTCCATAGGCTTCATAATCATGTTAAAATTACCACCTAGAAACCAATTCTCTTGTATGATGTTTCCAATAGACTCAATTTTATGCCAAAGCTGATTCTTTTCTTGAAAATGAGAGATAGAGTAAACAAAGGTGCCCCATCCCTGAAAGTCTTCAAAAGAAATTTAAGAGAGAATATATTGCTCCTCATCATCAACAATGGTAAGAGTGACTGTGGGCTTCCGAAAGATCCAGATTTTGTTATTAACATTGCAAATGATAACCTTTGAACATATTAAGAATTCTGTGTTTATTTACTTGAACAAAAGGTTCCAAAATAGCAAAAATGAGTAATTTATGGACCCTGCAGAGATTTTTTAGCCTGTTAAGGGAGTTAGGATCCACCACTCCCCTAATATTCCACACCATTATATTAAAGATGATGACATGATCAAATCCTTCTAGAAGATCTAGTAGGATTGACCAACTGTTCCCCATCATAATGATATATGCCTTCTTATATAATGTTACCTGCATTGAGTCTAGAAAGCTTGATGTTTCGTTTTGCCTTTTTTTCTAGAATGTTTTTGCACCTGCCACTCATTTTCCAAGGTTATATTCGCATTAGATAAAGAAGAGTTTATGTCAATAGCATCAAAAATAATTCCAACCATAGGAGATTGAACCATAGTGATAGAAGAAGGGAGGTATCCCTTATCATTATTGTGTCCTGCAAGCAAAGTATCAGCAGACTCTTCCAATGCCACATTAATATCATTTTCATTGAAAATTTCACCCAACTCAACTTCTTCATTCATCTGCAATTGTTGAGAATTAGTATCATTGCAATTATGTAAGATATCAATACCTTCCTGACGTTCATTGGTGATCATATGTAGATGATTTTCATCCTCACAAGTATGCATAGCTTCTATACCTAAAGGTTGTAAAGAAGATATGACATTAGTAATAACAGGATTTTCAGTAGGTTCAAGCAGATTCCACATTAATTAGGACTTTGGGGGGTTCAATATTAATGTTAGGAACAAGTGGAATTGTATTTGTTTCTTTGTGTGTGTTTTTGAGTTGTGGGTTCAATCGAAAGCAAGAGGTGGTTTGATGACCAAACATAGAGTAGTGTGTGTAATAGAGCGAATGCCTTTCTATTTCAAGAGGTTGTCAGTATCCTTGGTGTTGTGATCCTATCCATATTTCATTACAAAAATGTTTTGTAATGTCACGTTAAACCAAATTTCGTGCTTCAGATGGTCTTAACAATGTGAAAGTGGCATGATCCATTTTTAAAGGCTTGCCATAAGTAGCGGCAAGCGAAAGAGAATCTTGTGATTGAATAAGTGTATTTTAAGCCCTGGGAATCATATTCATACCAGAATGATAGGTAACTCTGCTTTAGGATCAAAATGTATAGACCATTTTCTAAATTTCAACATACTATTCTCAATCCACAAGAACCTTTTAGCAAATAGACGAGTATAGTCCTCGTCATTAGCTAATTGTATAAATATATGCCGCCCATCTATAATACCTACCGTCCACCAGCCTTTTAGCTTCAACATTTCAAACTCCCTTCTGATTAGTTCAATCTTAGGAATGACGTACGTAAACTTACCAACGAGAGCCAATCGGCATGAAGAAGCTAAGATTGAAGTTTCATCCTCAGATACATATAGCACTAATTTACCATTTTTTCCCCAATTTTTTGATAAAAGTATAATCTCCTCCAACTACAAGAGTTTCATGAAAACTTTGCAGGAAAAATTCAGTGGAGGGAGTGGTCGAACCACCACTTCCATTTAAGACAACATCAATAAAGGAACAGCAGCCGGAGGCATGGCAAAAAAATGACAAAGACAAAGAGTAGAGTATGAAAGAGCTCACCAAACGAAATTGCCATTAAAGTCGCAAAGAATACCAAACCCTAGCAGAGCTAATTCATCAGCTGCCATCCCTTATATATATATGAGGTCCTAGGGGTTTCTCCTTTTGCATTATAACTCCACACCAAAATAGAAAAAGGAAATCAAACCCAAAGTTACAAGTATCCCAACAAAATGTATACTAAAACAAAAAATTATACACCAGAAAAACTTGCAAAAGTCGAGTTGCAAGGAACATATGAGTTGTATAGCCAAAATTGCAACATGTACAACATCATGAGCTTGCATCGAGAGGCCCAAAGTATAAATGTGAGTGCGGCTTGAGACCTGTAAAAAGGACCTATCCAAAAACATAAAGTCAACCTAGTGATATAGTAAAAAGAGAGTAAGCATTAAAAAACGAGCCAAGTAGCTGGTGTAGAAAATGTAAAAACGGTGGCCCTCCTGATGCCAAAAGACCTATCCACAGAATCAAAGCCATAAAATAAAAGGATGATAGTTCCTAAAGTAGCCACCAACCGAAAGAGGAAGTAAAGCCTTTGAGATTGTGGATCCGTGGGCCTCCAACCAATACTAAGCTAGGAAAATGGGCAATAAATATACTAATTCCAAACAATAAATTCATTATTGCCAGCTAACAAGAAAAACAAACATCCAACAAACCTCAACAAGGAGACACCCTCAGACAAAACATGAGGCCACATAATATAACCCGCAATAAGGTGAAAAGACTTCCCAATTTCCAACGACAAAACTAAGCATCTCAAAAGGCCCCCATCAATGCCATTAATTATGCAAGCAGTGACCAAGTGCAAGCTAAACAAAACCCCCATTGAATTTCCAATATAGGACCATAGAAAATTATTTAAAAAAAGCTTAACTAAGTCAAGATGTGGCTTCAAAAATGTCTGAAGAACCATCCCAAATTTTCCAACCCTTAAGCTCATAGAATAAATGTAGAGCATATATCTCAGATAGAATAATCTACCATATTCCAGCACCAACAAAATTCAGAAGCCAAATGCTTCAAGTAACTTCCATAAATAGCAAAAAATAGAGCTTTGAGCAGAAAAATAATATATAAGAAGAATGATAGGAAACCGTAAAGCCCCTATATATGTAAAGAGAATACTAATAAACAATGAGCAAGCCAAACCATCAGCTATAAGTCTAGCAACCACCACCTTAAGGACGTATGAAAGGGACATCCAACATATCGCCATGAATAAGTCTATAAAGATGAGGTACAGGAGTGACTCCAATAATAATACCAAAATTTCCTTTCTTAGCCAACCAATTCGCAGGATCGTTTCCCCTCTGAGAATAAAGGAATACTGTGCAGTAATATGAGAAGTGACCATCAAATTATTGATCCTATTTAAAAGTGTGACAAGATTCCAACGGAGTTTTAAATTACCCATTAAAGTATGAATCAAAAATTGTGCATCCGTTTCCAGGAAAATATTTTGAAAGCCAAAAGAGATTGCCACATTTATAGCTGCCAAAACAGCCATAGCTTCGGTTTCAAGAGGAGACGAAGCAATGCAGGGGGAAGCAAAATAAACAAGGCACAACCCGTTTAAGTCCCGAAACAAGCCACCAATCCCCGCCTTATCACAAATAAAACTACCATCAGTATTTACTTTGATCCAACTGTGGGAAGGTGGTCTCAAATTAAAAAAAATTGGTCTCCTACAAAAACCAGGTTGAGGCAAAGTATTGATACCACCAGTAGCTTTAGCTGCTTTGATAAAATTAGCCACAATAAGAGCAACTGTATAGGTTGAAGTGTGAGTAGAATCTTCAAAC